AACATGGACGCGGCATCGAGCACCTGGAGATTTTAAAGTTCCTCTTGTACCGGAGCCAGAACATGAACAACTGACTTGTTTTAAGGAGGAGATTGAGAAGGAGAAGGACGAGGTTTTTGGTCGTGGTGTTTTGTGGGACAGTCTGTTGAAAGGAACATGTGGATGTGGAGATGGAGTCAAGAGTGGTGAGTGGACATGGACAGTCTGGTGTAATAATAGATTTGTTTCAGGTGTTTTGTGGAATGGGTAAGACTTTTTAGTGGCAGGAGAACTATGGCCATTGACATGCACTAGTCTAGCACCGGTGACCTCTGCAAATACAAGGACTGGATGGAATATTTCAAAAAGTGTCTCCACACGTCTCCAACACTGTGGCTCACTAAGAAATAAGGCCCTCTGTCCAAAGTCCTGAACTGTCCCTTTAAATACTCTAGATAGTACTCTTGTTGCCTAATTTAGTGCACTAATAAATGGATAATGGTTTATGTTTTACACCGTCTAAGACTCACTGTGGCTCTTATATAAACTGAATTTCCTACAACCTCTCAAATCAGCAGCTCTCTGACATTTTCATGTTGTAAAAGCAGAGGAATGCTGCAGACTCCTGCTCTACAATAACCTTAATGCAGTGGGTCTCTAACCTGTAGCTCTCCGCCTCATTCCAGAAGAGTGGGCAATTCTTTTTTCCATGGGGCCACATGAGAAACAGAAAATATTGTGGAGGCTAAAATGCTTCACTCAGTTCTGCATAATATGAATTGTATTTCTTTATAAAAAGCATAAATATCATTGTTCTGACGAGCTGCTCTGACTGGGAAGAGTTTATGTTCACACTCAGCAATGAAAAAGTGAAGTTGCCGAACAAAAAATGCCATTTAAAAAAACACACCTTTTGTCCATGCATGAGGTAAAATAATAAAATAAGTTTATTTTGATCTTAAATATATAATTTAGCCAAGCACCAACACGCTCTGCAAATACAAGGACTGGATGGAATATTTCAAAAAGTGTCTCCACATGATGACGCCCTATGTCCAAAATTCTGAACTGTCCCTTTAAAAGTAAAACAGTTCAAATGACTCTAAAAATAGATGGTTAACACCTTAAACCTACCACTTCATGACATCACAAGGTGGAAAAGAGGTGTTTGAGCTTTGGAGGTGTAGACAGACTAATAGTCCAGGATTACTCAAACATGTGTGAATGAAAGAAAACACAACTCCAGGTGTGTTTTTGAGGAGGTTATAACATCATAACACAGTTTTAAACTCACAAGATTCAGTTGTGTGTAACATCAGGACATCTGAGATTTAACTGTGTTTTTTATTTCATGCAGTTAATATTTGTCACTTAAAGGTTTAGACGATTCATAGCTGAAAAATTGAAGTTGCCAAACAAAAAATGTCATTTAAAAACACACCTTTAGTCCATGCATGAGTTAAAGTGATAAAATGTGTTTATTTTGTAATTCCAAATGATCTTAAAAAGGCTGTATGTTGTGGCCCGGGAGCTGGACAATGCCCAACTCTGATTTAGAAGGTTTACATCTCACAGCGAATCATTTCTGTTTGATTCACCACATGTCGATGTGTCGGTTATCACAGTAAATGTGTGATGTAAATGTATAATTCAGTGCACGGACAAACTGATTTATGATTTATGTTCATAGGCATTTGAATATAAATCATCTAACGCTGTAGCTGTGTGTGAATGAAACGAAACACAACTCCAGGTCTCAAATACACAGTGTTGGGGAGGAACAGATTACATGTACCAGGATTATGTTATCAGAGTACAAATTATGAGTAACTGTATTCGGTTATTGGATTACAGTTACTTTGTTGAAATAAATGGATTACATGGCGCTATTTTCCTGTTTTCACATTTTTGGGCTAAAACAGGTCTAAACCAGGACTAAACCAGGACTAAACCAGGTCTAAACCAGGACTAAACCAGGTCTAAACCAGGACTAAACCAGGACTAAACCAGGACTAAACCAGGTCTAAACCAGGACTAAACCAGGACTAAACCAGGCCGTGCGGACTGTGTCTCCTCGTCTTCTATCAATAATATGTTTAATCTGGTTAAGTAAAGTCTTTTTATTTTCTTTTAACAGACAAAACTTCTTATGTGAAGATTTCCTCGTCTTTGTTTCTCTACAGCAAATCAAGTAATCCAAAGTATTCAGATTACATTACTCACTTGAAGTAATTTAATGCATTCTGTTACAAACTACATTTTGGGGTATGTAATCTGTAATCTGTAGGGGATTACATTTTAAAAGTCACCTTCCCAACACTGCAAATACAAAGTAGGAAAAAACTGAGGCCCTCAAAAAATACAAAATAATGAAAAGCCTTTAATACAACATGGCAGATCAAGTTCAAATCACGCCAACACGTTTCAGCCCTTCGACCTTCATCAGGGCCACTGTGCTGCAGTTTTTGAGTGCCTCAGTTTTTTCCTGCTTTGTATTTGAGACTGGTCCCTACAATTTTTGTATATCCAAGTAGCGCTCCTGCCACCAAAGCTTTACACAGCTCCAGGTCAGTTTGTGATGAGTAAACAACATTATAACAGATCAGAAAATAACGTAATACGAGCCCTTTAAGCATCACAAAAAACCACACCAAACCACAATTGCATTTGTAATTCAAGACCTTAGCTGGGGGATTTCACATGTTTTGGGTGGATGGGAGAAACCAGAGCACCCACAGAAACCCCCGCAGACACAGGCAGAACATGCAAACTCCACACAGAGAGGCCCTGGAGTCAAACCCCTGTCTCACATAAAAAAATAAAAATAAAATAAAAACTAACTAACTAACTAAATACACAAACCCAAAACACTTGTATAGTGTTTTTCTTGACACTTCAAGACGCTTAAAAAAATCTCAACTTTAGTCCAAATGTATGTCCAGTGTTGGGAAGGTGACTTTTAAAATGTAATCCCCTACAGATTACAGATTACAGACCCCAAAATGTAGTTTGTAACGTAATCCATTAAATTACTTAAAGTGAGTAATGTAATCTGATTACTTTGGATTACTTGATTTGCTGTAGAGAAGCAAAGACGAGGAAATCTTCACATAAGATGTTTTGTTTGATAAAAGAAAATAAAAAGCCCAGACTTTACTTAACTAAATTAAAAATAGTATTGATAGAATAAGTTTAGTCTTGTTAAATCCTGTTTGAGACATAGTTTAGACCTGGTTTTAGATCTGGTTTTAGACCTGGTTTTAGACCTGGTTTTAGACCTGGTTTTAGACCTGGTTAAGACCTAGTTTTAGACCTGGTTTAGACTGGTTTAGACTGGTTTTAGACCTGGTTTAGACCTGGTTTTAGACCTGGTTTTAGACCTGGTTTAGACCTGGTTTTAGACCTGGTTTAGACCTGGTTTTAGACCTGGTTTTAGACCTGGTTTTAGACTGGTTTTAGACCTGGTTTTAGACCTGGTTTAGACCTGGTTTTAGACCTGGTTTAGACCTGGTTTTAGACCTGGTTTAGACCTGGTTTTAGACTGGTTAGACTGGTTTTAGACCTGGTTTACCTGGTTTAGACCTGGTTTTAGACCTGGTTTTAGACCTGGTTTTAGACCTGGTTTTAGACCTGGTTTAGACCTGGTTTTAGACCTGGTTTTAGACCTGGTTTTAGACCTGGTTTTAGACTGGTTTAGACTGGTTTAGACCTGGTTTTAGACCTGGTTTTAGACCTGGTTTTAGACCTGGTTTTAGACCTGGTTTAGTTTCTGGCAATGAGTGGAATTACTGAAAAAAAAAAGAAAAGAAAAAAAAGAAAAAAGGGATATAGTCCAAAATGTGAAAACAGGAAAATATCTCTGTGTAATCCATTTTTTTCAACAAAGTAACTGTAATCCAATTACCACTCATGGAAACAGTAACTGTAACTGAATACAGTTACTCAAAATTTGTACTCTGATGACGTAACTCTGGTACATGTAATCTGTTACTCCCCAACACTGTGTATGTGTAGATAGTGGGTGGTACTTACATTTACTTTTTATAGAAATTGTACTTTTCAGAGTACTTTCCTGGCAGCATATACTCCCACTGAGTAATATTTTTACTGAAGTAACAGTACTTGAGTAAAAGTTGTGCTTACTCTTCCCACTGCGAGTGAGTCTAAAGTGACAAAACTTTTTGTTACAATATGCATTGATTTGAACATTTGTTTCTTACAGCTCCTTCAGATCTGATTCAGTTTGTCTCATTTTTGTGTCTGTCCTTTGAAAACACCAGATTTTGTGTAGAATTACTGTTTTGTCCTTCATATTGATTAAAATAAATCATAAATCAGATCTTGAATCCTGATAGTTGCTCTGTAAGTTACTCTAACTTGAGTACTAACTTTTTTTTTTTTTGCAATTCCTTGTGTCATTTCTTGGACTTCTTCTACTGCAGTAATATTATTTTGATGTCACTTAACTTTAGCACAGTGTTTGGCTGCTCTGCCTCCTCTGCCTGTCTTCACCCACTGTGTCCAGGCCTACAGTAACGTACAGTAAAGTATCACATTGTTTGTTAGTGTGCGTCGTCTCCGCGGAGCCAGCTGATTTACGTTTCTAACCGCGCGCTGAAAGAACCAACCACCAGTGGGACCGCGCGTCTCCAAATCCTCCCCGGAGCAGAGTGCATGCACCCGGCAACCCTGAGAACGAGCTCTCCCCCCCCCCCACACACACACATACCCCCACAGACCCACACAGACTCACACAGACTCACACAAACCCCCACACACCCGGGGGCTGCACGGTTGCGGTTCTTTGGGTATTTCAAATGAAGTTAAGGTCAAAGGGCCAGTGTGAGAGCTGCGTGCGCCGGTGGGAAGAGCGGACAGGAAGGATGCTGAAGAGAGGGAGAGAGGGAGAGAGAGAGAGGATCTAATTGCTGTTGGAGGCTCGCTCTATGTAAACACGAGCCACAGCTGGTCTCTCGTAAAAAAGGGAAAAAAAAAAAGACAAGAAAAAACAGTCTACTAACCTGCATCATGCACCGTCTCCAAAAGCAGCGCGAGGAAAACGTGAACGAACCAGAGCCTGCGTCTTTGTCCGCGCGCGCTCACATCCCCGCGGTTCATTTTGTCTCAATGATAAACCAGGATTGTTCGAAAGCATTTACAGATGTGGGAGCGAGCGTCGGTTATCTGTTATCTGAACCGCGTGCGAGGCGGAGAGAGAGGGGGGCTTGCTTAAGTTTGGCAGCCGTGCGTAATGGCTCTGTGCCGGGATAGGAGAGTCTAGGCCCGGGTGAAAACGGTGTTCATTGCGCCTGCCTTGGAGTGGCAATCCCTGCTATCCTCCATGATCCGCCCGCTCCGGACCGACTCAGTGACAGCGCAAAGTTTTTGTGCGCGCTTGGCCAGCCCCTCAGTCAGATGGGAGGACTTAAAACAATGGGACATCTTCCAAGGGGGCTGAGAATTTAAAGGGGAACCAACTGCTCCGGAACAGCGAAGCCAGTCGAGCCAGACCTACTTGGCCCGGCTCCACAGAGCGAGGTCCTTCGGGTTGTCTCCGGGTTACATAAGGTCCGGTTCTGGTGCCGCTGCGTTCAAGTGTAATCCGAGACGCGGCTTCTGTGTGGGTCTGTCTAAACTCGTTTCGTGACAGTGAAAAAGGAACCGCGATAAAGTTCCTCACGAAAAAGGCCTATACACATGAGATGCACCACACTTTTCAGAGTGCGTGTTAAATCCACACCAGAGCGTCCACAACACGTGGCCTCAACTGAGTTTATTTTAAAAGTTTGATTGTAGTTCAGACTTTTTCCTCAGTGACTGCTCTGACTGTAGCCTGTCGACTGCTTGGCAGGGCGTATGCCCCCCTCTACTGGAGATAAAGAGCAACTGAAATATCAGATAAGCACAACATTCTTCATAGATGAGAGTAGAGTGGATGTGCTCGGCTCGGTCTTGGAGCATGGTTCGGTGTTTTGGGCCTGGCACAGGGCGGGTATGAGAAGTGTGTTCAGGAAAAGCTTGTTTTTTGTTGTTGTTTTTTTTTGTTTTTTTTACCTTCAGAAACACCATGTGTGACACACTGAGCTTAAGGTGAATGACAATAAAAGCATCAGGAGAGTTCTTCTATTCAAAGAGGAGGAGGCAGAGCGCGCGGGCACCCACGCGGGTGCGGGGACAGCTGGGGACGAGCTGTTGATGGTTCTGATGCTTCTAGTCCAAACACTTTCTTATTCTGGTCTTTGAATAGACTGAACCCCAGCAGAGCGCGTGGAGAGGTCCACCAGGAGCACTTTTACGCACAGCGCGCGCACGGAGCATGTGTGACCAATCCGCGCGCAGCTCGCCCCTGACACTCGTTTATAAAAGCCGCAGCACCAGTCAGGTGTCACTCAGACGTGCATTTGTCTCATGCTGAACTGTGTGCGTGCCCAGGGCTCATGCGTCCTGCTGTGTGAGCGCGCGAGCAGCGGCGCGTGGACATGGAGGAGCCGCAGAACCACAGCGGGCTCCGGAACAGCTCCGCGGAGGATGGCTTCAGTTTTGAGGACATTGACGTGAGCGCGGATGGCAGTCCCATCCTGCGCATCCTCATCTCGGTCATCTACAGCGTGGTGTGCGCCGTGGGGCTCGTGGGGAACCTGCTGGTGTTTTTCCTCATGAAGCTGCGCCAGGGACGCAAGAAGTCCAACATCAACACGTTCATCCTCAACCTGGCAGTCACGGACTTCCAGTTCGTGCTGACTCTGCCCTTCTGGGCCGTAGACACGGCTCTGGACTTCAGCTGGCCCTTTGGAGACGCCATGTGTAAGATCATCCTGTCCGTGACCGTCATGAACATGTACGCCAGCGTCTTCTTCCTCACGGCCATGAGCGTGACCCGGTACCTGTCCGTGTCCTCAGCGCTCAAGAAGCGGGCGTTCAGGCGCACGAGCTGCGTGCGCTGGGTGTGCGCGGTGCTGTGGGTGGCCGCCACTTTGGCCACCGCGCCCACCGCGGTTTTCTCCACGGTGACGGTGGTGGCGGGGGAGAAGCTGTGCCTGCTGCGGTTTCCTGAGGGTTATGACTGGCTGGCGCTGTACCACATCCAGAAGATCCTGGTGGCCTTCGTGGTGCCCATGCTCATCGTGTGCGCGAACTACCTCCTGCTGCTGCGCTTCGTGCGCCGCCGCAGCATGGACACCACAAACCCGCGGCGTCGATCGCGCGTCACGCGCTCCGTGGCCATCGTGGTGCTGTCCTTCTTCTGCTGCTGGATGCCCAACCACGCCATCACGCTGTGGGGGGTACTGGTCAAACTGAACGCGGTCCACTGGGACAAGTCCTACTACCTCGTGCACACGTACGTGTTCCCCGTGACCGTGTGCCTCGCGCACACGAACAGCTGCCTAAACCCGGTGCTCTACTGCCTCATGCGCCCGGAGATCCGGAAGATGCTGAGCGGGACCTTCTGGAAAGTGTCCGTCCCCAACTCCAACAAAGCGTGCGCCACGCGCTCTTTTACGCAGGGAGACACGCATGGCGTGGTGCCGGTGCAGCTGCCGGACAACGCGGAGTACTCTCTGTCCATTATCGACCGCAAGGGACTGTCCACGTGCAAGAGCGCGCAGCACAGTGCCTTCACCATCTCCACGGGACACTGACGCACGGTCACCTTCTCCACGGGACACTGACGCACGGTCACCTTCTCCACGGGACACTATAGCAGGCCACGCGCGCACTTGACTCTTAAAGACTCTTTTTTGCGTGTGATGGTTTTTATGACGGGACATTTCTGATGGCCGTGGCGCACCTGCACTTGTCTGGGACAGTCAATCTGCTGAGGACAGAACATTGTACAGTTGAGAGCAGAGGAACAGTCGAGCTGCTGTAAATAAAAAGCTTTGTCCTGCGCGTTTCTCTCAGAGTCTCACACTCCTGTTGTTTGAGCTCCTGATCTGACTCCACACACACTGATCTGACTCCACACACACTGTTCTGACTCCACACACACTGTTCTGACTGTACCTTATCATAAAATATCATTCTTGTGTAATGTTATAACCTGGTTACAACAGTGAATATTTTCACATCATATTTCTCTACCTCTTCAGTCCGTCTGTGTAAACTCTCATGTTTGCACCGGCTGAACCACAGAGCTCCTGGTTGGTGGGCTCCTGTGTAGTGCTGTACATATACACCTGTGTGTGTGTGTGTGTGTGTGTGTGTGTGTCAGCACTAGTTCTTTGTGCCCATGCACATGTACATGTGTCCCGCACACTGACTTCAGGTCCTTCTTTTACACTGATTCCTCTAAAATGATGATGATTTGTTTGTGATATTTTGAATCTGAACATTACAGTGACATGTTCTTCACCTGGTTTAGTGAAATAAAACCTGTGCTGTTCGATCGTGTTTACATCGGTCATGTGTGAGGAAAAGTTGAGAAGAGAAAAGCAGTGGTGAGTCGTGGAGTCACAAATACAAAATTCCATCTAATTCCATCATTTTCACAAGTCCAGGAGAAAGTCTCTTACAGTATTTGTATTCATATTTAAAGATTCTCTGTCTTTTGTGAGTCTGCTTTACCTTCTTGTCTCCATGGACATGTTATTGCTTTCCACAGTGTTCCACAGTGTAGCTATAAATGTCCCTATCACCACGGAGACGCAGGTGACACCATGAGCCCAGATCACATGTAAGAGCTGTGGAATGGCAAGCCTGCTCACGTAGTCTTAGCCTTCAATTCAAGATTGATGAAGTTAATGCTGTGCTGTGGGACATTTCAGACAAAGTAGTAACCATGGAGACAAGCATGAGGCAGACCATCCACCAAGAAAATGACATTTTTATTTTTTAAATGTATTTTTTATGGACCTTTATTTAACGAGGAGAGTCCTGATTAAGAATCAGGGATTTCAGGGGAGTTGTATGTGGACCCTCCTGTCCATGTTTGAGTGACAGAGAGAGAGCTGTACGTTCATGTCTGCCCTCTGCTGTTACCTTTGGAAGTTTTAAATTATGATCTGTAAATTCAAATGTAATAAAAAAAAGAAAGAAATCACATTTTTGTAGTGTAATGAAATTGTAAATACAGGTTTGTGGAGCCTTTGACCCTCCTCACACATGAGCCCAGAGTCTCTGTACAACCAGGATTTAGAATTCATGACGAAACACACAGTGTTTGTTTTCCCCCATCAATATTCCAGTATAGCCAATTAAAAGTGTGGCTCCTGAACACATGGTGCAAGTGTCCAGAGACAAAGAGCAGCAGGAGCCAAAAAAAAAAAAGCAATTCTCACACTTGTCTCCGAGCTGCAGCTGTGGAGCTTTATATTCAGCTCCAGGTTTAGTCCCGACTCAACCCTCGTCATCAGTGTGAGTCTATGTGCAGCTTTAACTCATGTTTAAAAGAACTGTGTACCACCTGTGCTCGTACTGTTCTACAAACACAACTCACCCTGGGCCTTCACTCACTGAGCTGCAGACGCTGCACTAGCACTGAATCAGAGAGAGTCTTTCTCCACTGGATTTGAGCCTTGAAACTGGCCACACATGTGAGGCTCCTTCTGCTTTCTGATTGGAGAATCGCCTTGAACCAAAACACCAAATTCAACATAAATGAGAAATAAATCAGGATAAATTTGCATTACAATTATTAGCAATAAAAGTTATATTTGATTAGTCTGTCCTGTATCTGAGAACACAAATAGGTCATAGGTCATTTCAAATACAAATCTCACACATTTAGTTGTACTTTTATAAATCAAACCTTTACACACTTTGTTCTGTTATTGTAAAATATTAAAATAAATAGATGAGTTGTGTCAAAGTGTATTCTGTGTTTTAGTCTGTTTCAGTTAATTTTTGAGGGATGTTTAACCTCGTCCTAACAGTGTCCCTCAACTTTATCTTAATTATATTTTGATTCATTCATGTTTGAGTAACGCTGTTTTGTTCTGCACTTCTTTAGTCTTTAGTGCTCAAAAAAATCCTGTTTTCACCTACCCCCTATCTCCACCCACTTCTCTGAACTTAAGATTCAAAACATTGAGACTGTGGGTCATGTGTTTTACATTATGTAAATGTAAAATGTCAGTTATTTTCAGAAACTACAGAAAATGTGCTGAGGCTCTGAGTTGTGCTGTTTGAATGTTTTATTTCAGATCAATATTGCTTTTACAGTGTACAAAATGTCAAATAAATATCTATGTTACAGTTTAAAGGTTCTGCATCCTTTTTTATTCATTTATTTGCGTCACAGGTTTTTTCTGACATTATTCCATAGACACACAGACACACATTTAACACACACAGACCGAAAAGGTTTAGGCTGAAGAATCTGTGTGTCGTTCGTTCATTTGTTTTTCAAAATAAAACAAAAAATAAGAAAATGAAAAAACAGCTATTTTCTTCAGTATTTGTCTCCACAACCAAAATGAAAAAAAAAAAAAAAAAAAAACAGATAACGATTCACTTTTTCAGTTTTCGATTTTGTGTTTTTAAATGAATAATGGAAAAAAAGAGATAACGACTGTTTCTCGTTTCTGTGACTTAAACTGTGATGCCGGACTTTTACGCCGCATACGGACTGAACCAGGACTAAACCAGGTCTGAACCAGGACTAAACCAGGACTAAACCAGGTCTGAACCAGGACTAAACCAGGTCTGAACCAAGACTAAACCAGGTCTGAACCAAGACTAAACCAGGACTAAACCAGGTCTGAACCAGGACTAAACCAGGACTGAACCGGGACTGAACCGGGACTGAACCAGGACTAAAACAGGACTAAAAAGGACTGAACCAGGACTAAACCAGGATTAAACAAGACTGAACCAGGACTAGGAAAGAGTGTCGGACTGTCTGACTGTTGGGTGATCAGGATTGAGACCAGGACCAGAGCAGGACTGAGACTGGGCCTGAGACGGGGCCTGAGACTCGGACTGAGACCAGACCAGACCGGGCCCAGACTGGGACTAGACCAGAACTGAGACCGGGACCTGGTTTAGTCCTGGTTCAGTCCTGGTTTAGTCCGGGATCAGACCTGGTTTAGTTCTATTGTAGACCTGTTTTAGTCCTGAGATCAGTCCTGGTTCAATTCCAGTCTGGTCCCGGTCTCAGTCCTGGTCTCAATCTTGGTCTCAGTCCTGGTCTGGTCCTGGTCTCTTGTTGGTCTCTGTCTCGGTCTCAGTCCTGATCACCCGACAGTCTAAGGGGGCGCACCTCCGGGCCTGTCCTGACACTCAGTCATGTTTTAGTCCTGGTTCAGTCCTGGTTGTGTATTGTGTTGTGTAAACTTGTTGTGTATTATTGAGCATCATTTGTACATGATTTTCTACTTAGATTTTTCTCTGTTTCGAGATAATTTATTAATATCACACCAGACTTTAATTTTATACTTAGACCTGTCTGTCGCTGTGAGATTACACCTTGGCAGAGCAGCATGTGTCAGGCAGCTTCTTTCCATGATGTGCCTGAATGAGTGAAGAGGTGTCCATGCCACTCACTTCTCTATTAATTATATTCTCTCAGCAGGCAGTGTTAAATCAATGGATTGTATTTTACAGGCTTTGTTCCGCCTTATGAACAGCTTTTACCAAATAGTCACAGTATTATGTGTTTCTAAAAGTCCTCACTGTGTTTTTTAAGAGGGGGTCTTATGCAAAATGTACTTTTTTGAGCTTTCTACCATATTATAATGTTGCTCCCTCATCAAAATCTGCCTGAAGAGGTTTTAGACTCATCCATGCATGTTTGAGTAATCTAGTGATCTCTCCCAGGTCTATTCAAACCCTCACTGAGGTTAGCTTTCAGATTCTGTCCAAAGCTCCGCCCACAAGCCTACATCACCCACGCTCCCACACGACAACTCTACATAAATATACAAAAACATGATACAAAACTGTACACTACAACTTCACAAACCTGATGTGATGTGTGGTAGTTTCATTAGTGGGATACACACTGATTGTGTTGTGATAGTGCTCTGAAAGGGGAGTGACTTTGCATGGAGAACAAAGAGTGGGGAGACTCACAGCGTCAAAAACAAAAATGAAATTTATAAACATATAACATATGTTAATATGTTGTTTTGGGCGATTATAGCATTTTCAAAACAATAAAAGGTAACACACTGATCTAAATCCAGTATATGTGATGCGTTACACTTATTATCTCATATAACAATATAATAAGTGGAATAGATCCTTACATTTCACACTCTCCATATTTCTACAGAGAGAAGCGTCACATGTGCACACTGAGGATGAGTCGTGGATGGAGCTGTGGTCCTCAGACAGAGAACCAATCAGAACACAGACTGTATATGTGTATGTTCTGAGAGCCAAACCAGCAGGATGGTGCTTTTTTAAACCTGAGTTTTCAGGTGTTAGAATATCTCCATGGAGACAAGGACAGTACCAGATATTTTAGTAACAACAATTTTAGATGAATGAGTTTAAACTTTAATGAAACATTGTGAGACTCTGAGCTTTCACCTGAGGCCTGTCCATATATTAATGTGTTAATGTGATTAAGTGAGATTCAGGAGCTGGACCACACCTCAACCTCCTCTACAGACAACCTCCTCTACAGACAACCTCCTCTACAGACAACCTCCTCTACAGACAGCCACTCTACAGACAACCTCCTCTACAGACAGCC